TTCCACCGGTCTCACCCACCCGCAGTGCTCCGGCGACCACCCCTCCTGCGCGCGCTGTCTCGCCCGCGGCCTCGTCTGCGAGTACGCAAAGGAAGGCCGCGTCCGCGGGCCCAACAAGACACACAAAGCCCGCGCCGGCTCCCTCAGCTCCGCCTCTGCCTCCACCTCCCACTCCTCGTCGCACTCGCCCAACCCCAACCCGCTGCTGCCGTACAGCAGCCCGCTCCTAGACAGCGCGAAGCAGCAGCGGCGGCGGCGCCGCAACACGACGCTCGCGACGCCGCACGCCAAGCCCGAGCCGCTCTCGTCCTGTCTCCCGCTCGCCCTCCCCGCCCCTAAGCGCCTCTCGCTCCCCGCCTCGCTCGACCTCGCGCTGCTGGGCGGGGGCATGGGTAATGGCATGAACGGAGGCCCCTACGACCACGACCCCGACTCGCACTCCCACTCGCGCCGCGGCAGCTACGACAGCTACGCCGGCGAGCTCGGGTACGACGCCTACACCCGCGACCTCGACCCCCACCCTCATGCGCACGTCCACCACACTAGCACTCACCCGCACGCAAACGGCAACAACGCGTGGGCCGATCCCTTCCCGAACAGCAAACCCTACGCCCTCGACACGCCGCGCCCCTTGCCGCTCGAAACCGGCTACGCGCTCGACCACGCCCACGGCCACGGACCCCTCGACGGCCCGCTCCCGCACGGCCTCGGGCTCGGCCCCCCGCCGTCCTACGCGCATCCCCATACGCATACCCACACCCCGTCCTACGCACACACACATACCCCGTCCTACGCACACGTGCACCACACCCCGTCGTACGCGCAGGGTCTGGGCCCGCTCTCGCTGAGGACCGACGCCCTCTCCCTCTCCTCGCGCCCAGACACCCTCTCCCTCCGCACCGACCTCCCCCCGCCCTCATCGCGCACCGTCCTCTCCCCCGCCTCCCTCCGCTCGCGCTCCCGCCCCGGCACGGCGAGCAGCTGCGTCAGCGCGCGGAGCAGTTTCAGCTTAACCGGGGGTACAAGTGGGCGGAGTAGTGTCAGCTTGCATGGGCGGAGTCCCGGCGGGAGTGGGGGAAGTGGAGGAAGTGGGGGGAGTGGTAGTGGGAGTGCAGGTGGGGGAAGTGGAAGTGGGGGGAGCGGGGGAAGCGGGAGTACAGGGAGCGGGAGCGGGAGCTCGCGGGGGAGCTTTGATGATGGAGGGGGGTCGGGGTGAGTTTTCTTTCTTCTCGTTCTCTGTGTGTTTCTCGTGTTTCTCGTGTTCCTCTCCGGCCTCGAGTCGGATTCGGATTTCCCTCGTCTCCTCGTCGTCCTGCCCGTTTTGCATTCCTCCCTCTTCTCCTCTCCTCCTCTCCTCCTCTCCTCTCCTCTCCTCCTCTCCTCTCCTCCTCACCTTACTAACCCTCGAATCCCCAGCCCACCCAGCGCAGTATCAGGCTCCTTCCCGCTCTTCCGCAGCTCGCCGCGCGGGTACGCGCGCCAGGCGTACGAGGTGGGGTCGCATCCGCATCCGCACCCGCACCAGCAGCTGCAGTCCCCGCATCCGCACCCGCAGCAGCAGCAGCAGCAGCAGCACCCGCAGCAGCAGCAACAGCAGGCATACGATCTGCACGGGCAGAGCGCGTACTCGTACGACCCGCAGCAGGCGCATCCCTACCCGCAGCCTCAGCCTCAGCGGGAGGGGTATGAGGCGTATGAGGTGCCAAGGCGGGGGAGCGGGTATGGGGAGTACGAGTATGAGGTCCCGCGGCAGCAGCAGTCACAGGCGCAGCAGCACGGGGAGTACGAGGTCCCGCGGCAGCAGCAACACTTTGGCGCGCGGGGGCCCTACGAGGGCATGGAGGTCGACGCCGACGGCCCGTTCGACGCGACGGGGGCGGTTCTGTCTGGCTCCAACTCCAACTCCAATTCCATGGGCTCTATCAACGGCTCTAGTGGGCTCTCCGGCTCGCACTCCAACGGGCTCTCCCACTCGAACTCCCACTCCTCCAACTCGCACTCCAACGGGCTCTCCAACTCCAGCGTCGGCGTAAACGGGGGTACAGGAGGCGGGAGGGTAAGCGCGCTGCGGGGGTGGGTCGAGCCGCCCAGTATGAGCATGGGTATGAGTGGGGGGTCGGTGCGGGGAATGGGTGGGGGAGGGATAGGGGCGAGCGGGTTCGCGAGGGCGTTGCATAGTAGTGGGTTGGGTGTAGGGGTTGGTGGCAATACGTCGGCGTCCGATGGGATGAACGGGAGGACGAGTGGGATGGGCGCGAGCTCGAGCACGGGTACGGACGCGAGTGGGCTGTCGTTGGGTGCCTCCCTGTCGTCGATGAACGGGAACGCGATGTCGCCGGGCAACGGCATCCACACCATGTCGTCGCCGGTGAATGGGAACGGGAGCGCGATGTCCCCGCTCTCGGCGTCCTCGCCCTTCTCCCCCGTCGCGAGCACGGCCTCGCCCTTCCACGCCAGCGCGTCCTCCCCTTTCAACACCAGCGCCAGCGCGAGCGCCTCCGCCCCCTTCTCTCCCGTCACGAACACGGCCTCTCCCTTCCACGCCCCCGCGCTCTCCCCCGCCGCGCCGCCCCTCCCGCTCTCGGCCCTGGGCCGCGCGATGAGCGCCATGGCGGACGGAGGGGGGATGTCGTCTGACGGGGGGATGGCTGCGATGTCTAGCGGGATGGGTGGGAACGCCAACGGGGGCAGGGGTGGAGGGCGCACGGGGAGGGCACGGGCGGCGAGCGTTGCGGGGTTCTAGGCGCCGCCAAGGGGTGAAGGGGCCAGGGGGGAGTGGGAGGGAGACAGTGCGACTATTCACCACCATCCGCATCAGCATTACCGACGACGAAATAAAAGTTCAGCGTACCTCTATCCTCCGTCACCCTCCCGCGCCGCACCGACTACCCCCCCGCATGAGCACGTATATCCGGCTACTCCACCTCCTCCCCTCCTCTTCCGTTCCCGACTTGTTTTTTCGACCCGACCAGACGACAGTTTTTTTGGCAGCATCATTGGCATTGGCATTGGCAGCATGGACCTTGTAGTATAGTATCAAGTAACATAGACGGTGATTTTTGTATGATAGCCACCACAACGTCCCCGGAGAAGTGAAGAGGAGGGGGGGGCGAATAAAATGTATGATATGATCTGGCTTTTGTTTGTGCGTTTTGTTTGAGATTTGAGATTTGAGAGGTTTTGAGGTGAAGAGAGATAAAAGAAGTAGAGGGGAGAGCAAGGAGAACGAGGAGAGGAAGAGTGCAAGGGGAGAAAGCAAGGAGGAAGAGAAGAGGAAGAAACGCAGATTGGAGGCGACGGAGGAAACGGAGATGGTGATTGATCGCATCAGGTGCGGTGTGGACTCGGAGGATTATGTCATGTTCGGTTTTTTGTTCAACATTTGAGTATGGTTCGGAGTGAGGTTCAGCGAGGCATGATAGGAAGGAAAGGACTGTTTCTGAATTCACCCGTCGGGATTAAATTCAACGCATATATGTTCAAAAATAGAACTTGCCACTGAGCAAGTCTGCGGATTAAAGCCGCATAAAGTGGGGGTTTAGCCAGTGTTTAAAGATAGGGAAGAAGCGGACGTGGTGCGCGGCGCACCGCTGTATTCAATAGGTTGTAGATTCCATGCTGAGCAGCTAATCGGGGTTCGACTCCCCGCGTCCGCATGCCTTCTTTGTCTACTGACAGTTTTTTGTCCGCAGATATGAACAGCACAAAATGCGTGCATAAATCGAGGCGTTAGAGGGATATAGGGAGCGGACGTGGTGCGCGGTGCGCCGCTGCATTCAATAGTCTGTAAAGACGGTGATTGAGCAGTTGATGGGGTTCGACTCCCCGCGTCCGCCTTCCCAGGTATCTTGCGTTCCCCTTTTTTCGTCTCCAGGGCTGTTTTACTGACCAAAATACCCGCATAAATTGAGGTGGAAAGTGGACGTGGTGCGCGGTGCACCTCTGCATTTAATTGTTCTATACAGAGATTACTATATTGAGCAGCTGAAGGGGTGACACTCCCCGCGTCCGCATGGGCTGTCAATGTATACACACCTTTTTTGTTGGTCAGAGAAATGGTTCAACAGACCAAAAACCCCTGCATAAATTAAGGCGTTGAAGGGAGGTGGGAAGCGGACGTGGTGCGCGGTGCACCGCTGCATTCAATAAGCTGTCGTTATGTCACTATTGAGCAGCTAATCGGGGTTCGACTCCCCGCGTCCGCATGCCTCTGATAATGTTTGCTGACAGTTTTTTGTCCGCAGAGATGAACAGCGCAAAATGCATGCATAAATCGAAGCGTTAGAGGGATCTAGGGAGCGGACGTGGTGCGCGGTGCACCACTGCATTCAATAGTCTGCTCTTCTTGAATTGAGCAGTTGACGGGGTTCGACTCCCCGCGTCCGCATGGAAATTAAATGTTGAACCTAGTTCCTTTTTGGGGTGGCTGTAAATTCAAAATGCCCGCATAAATTGAAGGTGAAAAGGGAGGTGGAAAGTGGACGTGGTGCGCGGTGCACCCCTGCATTCAATAGGTTATCAATGTAATGCTGAGCAGCTAATCGGGGTTCGACTCCCCGCGTCCGCATGCGGTGGTATTCGGCAGTTTTTTTTTCTCACGTTCAATTTTCGTTTGAAAAATGTACCTTGCTTTCAAGAGAGAGAAATGCAGAGAGGAAGCGGATGTGGTGCGCGGTGCACCGCTGCATTCAATATTATACACCCATTCCATTGAGCAGCTGACGGGGTTCGACTCCCCGTGTCCGCATGGGCTGTCAGTATACACACTTTTTTGTTGGTCAGAGAAATGATTCAACAGACCAAAAACCCCTGCATAAATTAAGGCGTGGAAGGGAGCAGGAAAGCGGACGTGGTGCGCGGTGCACCGCTGCATTCAATATGGATGTCGAACATAATTGAGCAGCCAACGGGCGTCCGCCACCGTTTTTTGTTGAGTCTGCAGAATGGGTGAAACTGGTCAAAACGCCGGGATAAAACGAGGATTTAAAGGGAGGAGGAAAGCGGACGTGGTGCACGGTGCACCGCTGCATTTAATAAAAGAGTGTGGTCCGGTATGCATTCAGCAGCTAGACGGGGTTCGACTCCCCGCGTCCGCCTGTGGCGCAGGCAATCTTTTTGTTCCCTGACAGTTCGATTTTCGTTTGAAAATTTTCCTCGCTTGAAGAAAACCTAAAATCGGTGGGGCAGCGGACGTGGTGCGCGGTGCATTCAACTTCTTTCTGATCATCGAATTCAGCAGCCAACTGGGGTTCGACTCCCCGCCTCCGCGTGGCGAATTTTTGTTCACAGTCCTTTTTTCTCACAGTTCCTTTTAATTTCCATTTGAAAATTTCCCTCGCTTGAAACCCAATGTGGTGGGGAAAGCGGACGTGGTGGGCGGTGTACCGCTGCCTTGTATTCTTATCCGGCGACAATACATGCGGAGGCAGCTGCTGGGGTGCGATTCCCCGCGTCTGCCTTCAGCTTCCAGCTTTCTAGCCCTTTTTTTGGTCGACAGAGTGTGAGCATCCCAAAAGCCCCTGTATGAATTAAGATGTTGAGGGAGGTGGGAAGCGGACCTGGTGCGCGGTGCACCGCTCCATTCAATCAGTCCATATGGAGCACCGAATTGAGCAGCTGATGGGGTTCGACTCCCCGCATCCGCCTGCCTGTCTGTTTTTCAGGGTTTTTTTTTTGGTCGGCAGAGGGGTTGAACATCGCAAAATGCGTGCATAAATTAAGGCATCGGAAGGAGGTGGAAAGCGGACGTGGTGCGCGGCGCACCGCTGCATGTAATGGAATGTTGGAGACATTGATGAAGCAGCCAACTGGGGTTCGATTCCCCGCGTCCGCCTTCCCAGGTATCTCGCGCTCCCCTTTTTGGTGGTCGAACTGGCAGAAATACCCGCATAAATCCAGGCTTTAAAGGGAGGTGGGAAGCGGATGTGGCGCGCGGTGCACCGCTGCATTCAATGCTTCATACGCAGTGGATAATTCAGCAGCTGAATTTGGGTTCGACTCCGCGTCCGCATTCAATGTGGTGGGCTTGGTTTTTTCTTTCTTTTATCTTTATCTGGTTCAAATGGTACTCGCTATTGGCGATTAAATTTAAAATGCATGCATAAATTGGTGGCTGGAAAGGATACAATAAGCGGACATAGTGTGCGGCGCACCGGGCCATCAAATGTCGATAGGCCTTGTGTGCTACTAAGCAACTGGAAGGGCTTGACTCCCCGCGTCTGCACTGGAGTATTGCAACAAATGTTTTTCTCACGGTTGGATTTCAATTCCGAGATCGAATAAAATGCAGTCCATAACCTCACATGCAGCAATGCATGTAATGCAATACACTACATGCCACATTCAATCCTCTGTGGATTGAACTCCAGTCAACCAAGGGAATTGGGATTGGCGATGGGGGGTACTCAATACATATGCGCTTATCCCACCGTCGATCGCTCATTGCTCATGATTGCCTCGTTCTAGTTCCGTCCGGCATCCGTCGATCACCGCTGACGTATTTTCATACCTTGGCGCTGCTACAATTGCGTCTAGAAGAGTGGAGTCGTTGGACTTCACAGACGGTCTGGCCAAGGATTTGTCAAATACAGAACTGGGATAGGACACTTCAACCTCCTGTGATACGATCGGATGTGCAGTTGACCTTCGATATTTCGTCATTGCATCGTCCACTCGACATCGAAGGAGCGTCATCTGTCGGTGCACAATTGATGACGCCTGGAAAGCATTTAGGGTTGCACGTCCCCTAAGGTAATTCAAATTCCGTGAAGAAATTCTCGACCGTGCCAGACCGCATACATATAGGCCGTATTTGAATGGCCGTTTTTCGTAAGAAGACAGCAAGAATTGAGATGAATTCATTTCCGGGAAGATGAAAGGAGCCCAGGCTGCACAGCAGCTATTGTTATTACTAAAACTTCTAAAAGACGTCCAGGCGAGCCACATGTCTTGTGACGAAATTGCGCTGCCCTCGGGTTCAGGTTATCCACAAAATGGAGTTTCAATGAAGCAAATTGCCGCTTCGTTGATGTAAATAAATTGCTGGGCTGGAGCGTTGTATGAGTTTTGACCATAGATTCCCATCGCCGTCGAGGGGAGCACGGTGATTCTTTTGCACCGATAGAATAATACTCCCGGTCATCATTCAAGTATTCTTGGGCCTTCAAAGCCAAAAAATACCTGCCAGTGAAACACACAACTTCGGGAATTGCCGGCAGTCGAACTTTGACTACCGGCAAATGCCGACAACCACATTCACTCGGCTTCTCTGACTTCAACCATTCGCTTTCAATTGCTGTTGTACAATATGTCCACTTGTTACAACTGGCCTCTCGTCGCACCCTCTGACGAGCGAGCCTGAGACTCATCCAGCCGATGGCGCGACCCTTGGCACCTTCGGCCAACCCTCGGGCTAAATACTTCCCTGCAGGACGACCCCCCAAGTCATACCAATGCACGCCTCGGAATCCTATTGTACACTCCAAGCCATTTCATCGCGTCTATGATCTAGAAATTAATATCTGCCTAGCAGGTGATTGGTGCAAATAGCGTGTCGGACAGACTACAGTCCGCGACACGATCTCGAACAACGCAGTAACGCCACCCGAGGCATTTTCGGTCCATTTATCAGCTTGTCGAGGGCCTCGGCCACTCACCGGTGCCTGGAGTTCAGTATTGACGTCGGCAGCTCGTAACTGAAGGCAAGCTCAGTCTCGCTGTACATGCTCTTTTGATGGTCACTCACTAATCCCGGCCCTTACGACGCTTAAACTCTGTTAACTCTGTTTCAACTACCCTGGCTACCCTCGGCCTTTCGTTAGTGGAGAATTTCCGAACCATCGCTCGACCCTGGAAAGCATAAGAAAATTTACAGTTTAAGTATTAACCTCCCTCCTTCGTGTTCTTTGGATAACGGCATGCGTGCGTATCAACGTGGCCTGTGTATCAACTTCGACTTCGGGATGCTAGGTTCTATTTCTGTGGCGTCAACTCTACCTGAAGGGTGCTCTCTGGTACTCTCGGTCTTTGCTGAAATCAACTACTTCTCTACCCCTTTGAATTCGACTCTGGCATACTTACAGTCACTGGCCTCGGGGAATAGGGCTAAACTCTATTCCCTCAGGCTGGCCAGTCGGCTTTCTTGACGGCCGCGAATTCCTACCTCCGAGCCCGAGTCTATTGCGGTGAAGCGGCTTCTTTCCTTCCATCCAGAAAATTATTTTCCTCCAATCATTCCATTTGGAACGCTCTCTTCCTGTCTGCGCCCCCGGTGTATTCATATCTGCACCTGGATGAAGACCACCCGAGGTCGATTTAATTCAGAGCAGCGATCCCACGCGTGAATCGCACCCCGGCGCCACCCACGACACGCCCATCGCCGTCGCTGAATACAAAGCACGCCACAGAATCTCATTCGGGGTAATAGAACAGAACGCGCGCTTCTCCATGGCCAGCCACAATTCAATTCAATCTGCGCGCACCGTCTCGTGGCTGGGCCCCGAATATTCTTTGCTGGAACGCGGAATGTTCGAGGGCTGCGCCACCGCGCCCGCGGACCCGAGCGCGTGTTCGTTAGTTGGTCAAGCCACTCTTCATGATCACAGCTGTGTTCAGAGAGAAATGCATGGACCCAGGAGATTCCAAGTTATGGATGTATGTCCAAAATCCAGTAATATCTGTTCCATTCAACGTTTCACGTCAACAATATTTTATCGGGAGCTGCAAACCTCCCCCGAGAACCCAAAAGCAAGGACGATCTAACTGAACTACCCGCATTGGAACTGCTCTAGTGTCTGATAGTCTTTGGCGCTAACTAATTCGCATTAACACGCAATGGCGCAAGAGGACGATTTTCCCGGGCACTAAATGTAACGGATCTACCGGTGGTAGATCCAGAAGTAAATAAATGTCCAATGATCAATCAACTTACTAGGAATAATATGCGCTCCTCCAGAACTCAACCAACGCCGAACACTGTCCGGGACAAGCAATCTAATCCGCATCGGTATGGAGAAATAAAACATTCTCTTTCCCGTGCATCTTGCGCTTTTTTTCCTTCATAGTTCAAGACGCCCTTACCCGGAAAAGAAAGAAGAGGTGTACAGCACACCGGGATCAAAATCTCACTGCATTGAACAGTCCCGGGCTTCCGTGGTTCGCTTATCTTGAGAGCGTTCTTTTTTCTCACAGTTCGAAAATTAGAATATAGGTATTTTCAGCCTGAAGCATTTAATTCAAGGCAGATAATCTGTTGGCACTGGCCGCTAGCCCATGTGTTTCCCCGTCGCCCGTTCACATCTTGCCCGAGATCCACCAGCACGCATGTGCGTACCTCATACATCATCTTCTAGCGCGCTGGATTACGCGCCCCCTCAGCACAGCGCCGACGGGGACCTGTGCGGCGTCCTGTGAAGGGTTCTGCATGCATACGATAATTAATATCTTTGCCACCGCCCAATAAATTTGCGCGCGCCACAATGCGCAGCCATACCTGGACGTATGTAATACAACATTTAATTGGCACCTTCGTTCGTTCGTTCGTCGCTGTTCATTCATCGGCTGCATTTCATTCGCCACACAATAATTGACCTGCTGGCGCCGATAGGAGTTTGGGGATCTGGGGTCCACGATGTGATGAGTGTATGTTTAATATACTTCCGTCGATCGACCGACCCCGATAGAATTTTGCGCCAAATTCAATTTGCGCCCGATGAATCGATGACGCTGTATCAGGCTGTATCGCACATATCTGGTTCCGTCCGCTCGATCGCCAAGATCTGGGGATGGGGAATGTGCTGCGATGAATTCGGGACGTCATCCAAACGTTGGAAATGATTCCAGTGGTGCAATGGGATCCCTAGATCCGAGATTTCTGCTCTGGCTTGTGTTAACAAGTCGATGGCGATCGCCGACGGGAAGGTTCTTTGAATTTTGAAACGATATGATATACCGATCGGATTCAGCTGACCTTATAAATAATTATTCGTCCTGGCTGGTATTGCAGATTAATTTGTAGCGCACAATGTGTTGCACCCACGCAGATGATGAAGAAACCTGGAAGCATTTGGGGTTGCGGCTGTTCACCAAGATTACCTAC